TATTTGTGAAAATCCAGCTTAATCGATCGATCAAGGCCAAATCGGACCTTTTAACCAAGTATAAAAATTGTTCCACGTGGTCCTTTAAGTAGCTTGGTGTCCTTTCTTTGCATCTATATAGTAAAGAACATTGTTAAAGAAGAAGCCCAAAAATTAAAGTTTTGACCCGTTGTCGCTCTCTCTTCATCGATCATCTAACCGACACTCGCCTACACTAGCTAATAAAGGAGCTCCAAGTGACCTTTTCCTAACAAACCACCTGCTTAAAGGTGGTCAAACGATGGTCGAAGTAAGCAGTAGTAGCTTTCGAGTTATCGAGGTAATTTCATAATTTTAACCTCTAAAGGCATTTTTGTAATTTTACCCTAAAGGCATTTTGATCATTCCGGATTCAACTAAGGGCATTTTGATTATTTTACAACATCATCTTCAATGCTTTGATGTGCAATCGCTTTCCTTCCTCGGTTAACTAAACAATCAATTTTGATCGAAAACGAAGAGAGTAGAATCGACCTTGAATAAGATTTCAAAAAAATTCAATCATTTTTTATAGCTATTTAGGTAACTTCGATAATATTTATACCCATTAAATTTATTGATTGAAATGAAGTAAATGACATGTCTTGGTAAGCATAAAAATATATATAAAAAAATACACGTCGATTGTGTTTGAAATTTGAAGTATGATCCGATACACTATCGTGTATCGAAACTTAAAGAGTCGAAACTCGGATATTATTAACTTGAAATAAGATAGATTATTCAATGCTCTAGAATGGAGTAGAGAGGATGAGCTTGAGTTTTTAATTTCAACAATAAATCTAAGGATAAATATTAGTCTCGGTGTTTGTATTTAAATATAATATTTATGTTTATACTCGAATGATGTGATTTTTTGTTTTATGCGTGGATGAAAGGAAGCAGATAGTGGCTTCCCACTTGTATGGATGAAGCCAATAGTGGCTTCCAAACCTTTTTCTAAATAATTTATATGTATATGATTCAAAACCGACAAGTGGCTTTTTACCTATGTGGATGAAGTCGTATGTGGCTTACAAGTTATCTTACTCGTGCTTTTTTCGTAAAAAATGAAGCTACTAGAGTCGCTCACCTATGTATATGAAACCGCCTATGACTTTCAAATCATTTTACCTATATTTTTTTGGTAAAAAATAAAGTTTGCTTTCTACCTATGTGACGAAGATGTCCGTGGCTTCCAAATCAATTTACCTATTTTCTCGTTCATCCGAAATGAAGTTGTTAGCGGCTTCACACTTATGTGATGAAGCTCGCTAATGGCTTCCAAACCAATAGAGTTATTGATGGCTTTTCACTTATGTGATGAAATTATCGATAGCTTCATAAACTCATGATTTAAAGTTGATAGTGGCTTCCCACTTATGTGAGTGAAGTTGTCGGTGACTTTCTATTCATGTCAATATAGGCTCTTAATATTTAAAAACTCACCTATTTGTTGGTATAAGCTTATGTTCGTTAAAGATTAGCCAAAATTCCAATCTCTCCTCACTATTCCCTTTTGAGTATGGGTATCGGTCTTAGACTAGCTTAAACCCCGAATTATTCTAACTTTCCATCCTAACGTAATAAATTTACTTAAATAGACATAGAAACATAATATAGCATAAATCAAAATTTTATTTTCGCATACATTCAATGCACCTCGCCTTAGGTAAGATAAGATGTCGGTAATGTTATTTCTTCTCCATATATAATCGATCTCTCATCTAAATATCTATGCGGATCGGCTTTGTTTACATTCTCTTTGGAATCCCCTTATTTTGATGGAATTGAATTCAATTGGATAGAATTGAATCCAAATATCTCGTTTGGATATTTATAAACAATAGAATTGGGAAGAATAGAATTCATTTGGGAGCAAAAAATAAAGATTTCCGTACGTAAAGAATTCAACAAAAAAATGGTGTGATTTGTGTAGAATTCTATTGGTTTTCATGACTAAAAGTGGGTCTCATTCCCTCTAAAATAAGAAACCCATCTTTACCCTTACTTTATCACCCAAGTAAACCCTAAAATTTGGTTCTTCTTCCCGTTAAAGACATTTTCCTATTTCCTTGTCGGGATATTTCGTCATCTTCTACATGTGATTTCAGTCGGAGGAGGAAAAAGTCTATTTTGACATCCCCAAGCCGAGTGGAAACAAATACTATCTTTATCAATTATGAGATTAAAAAAATAAAGATTTTCAAGATGAAAACGATAACGACTAGGAAATTAGTTACTACGGAAAAATCTCTAGGCATATACGAGTTAGCTCAATAACTTTTAGTTTGATAAGTCGAAACCCGAAAATAGAAGAAAAGTTTGTGTTTCAGCTTCATGCCTAGTTCAGCCCCTAAACCAATGGTTACAATTAGCATTTCGATTCTTTCTTGTGATGGAAGACTAGCAAGTTCAAAAGATAAAGCAACCGCAAAACTTAAGTCATCCAAACACCAATGAAACAATACCAACCCTTGGCAAATGACAAAGAAGAATCACGAGACCTTCAAAATTCAGCCTCTTGCATAAGCATAGCCCCGATAAGCCAATGACAAATTCCGCACAAGCTTTAATTATAGTGTCCGAAAAATAAAGGATGTGTCGGATTGAACATTATTCTTGTGAGAGAATACAAGAGTACTCGGTATAAGCTAGCTACATTGAACTAGATCAACGGGGTAATCCTAGAGGAAGCTAATATCGAGGCACAACATGAAGCAGAGTGAGAGACATACGAGCTTCCATAAAGAAAAAGTGAAACAAATTTATACATTTACTTGCTAAGCCATGTAACTACATCACCAACTTTACTAACTTTTTGTTAATATTGAAACCCAACTATAGGTGTATTGGGTTTAACTTAAATATATGCATTATTGTAAAGATATAGTTGTGAAGTTTATTATAATTAATATTACAGTCTTTGCATGCTTAATTCAAGTATGAAAATTATTTTGTTAATTAAGAGAAACCAATGTACTCGACATTTGTTTTCTAGTAAACTAAAATTCGGTTTCAAGGAAGAGGAGGATTGTAAAGGAGTAGGAATATAGAAAAAGGATATTATGGTAAAGTTATAAAAATTTAATTCTTTCTCAAATTCTTCCAAACAAGAGAAATCAATTCAATTCTATTAATTATATATTCATTCCAAACATATGAATTCTATAGTAAATGAACCGAATTGAATTCTACTTACTAAATTGAACCGAATTCCATCCTAGATTTGGTTCCAAACGAGGTGTTAAGGTTTCTTAGTTCTCCTCGATTAGCTAGGCGAGTGACTCCATTTCCTACGTGCTCCAATTGGCCCCTATTGACGAGTGTCATAAGATTAAGAGATAAGGAGGGCAAATTACAAATAATCAAAATTCAAAGCATTGTATATTGTCCTAAGCATGGAACCTAATATTTTTGCAAGGCCTATAAGAGAGGTATGTGGTGCCACATGTGGAGTTTCATAGAGAATTTATTGGCATCAATCGGGAAAATTAGCTAAACTTATTTTTATATTTCAAGCTTAATATCCAATTTGTTTCTACAAGTCTAACTACTCTCAACATGTCTTTGTATTTTAATATGTATTTTCATACAAATTAAGTGAAATGCTCTCACTCGAAATACTTAAACCCCATCCAATTTATTTAAAAAAAAAACAAACTTGATAAGAAAATGAATTGTCATGCGACATTAAAGTTCGGTTTTTTTGCATTGTTGTTTTTTTTAAATAATTTAAGTTATGTTTTAGTTTTTGATGTGAGGGTATTTTCATCAATTTGGATGAGAAGGTCCGACAAAAAAATAGATAAAAAAAGATCCTCTATCCAGGGATAAATTGTAAATAATTAAACTTGTAGGAATGTATCAAACACTAAGTACAAAATATAAGGATAGATTCAGCTAATATCTCATATCAATTGTTCCTAAAACTTCCCCATTAGTATTGTTTATTTCGAATGCACTAGTTTTTGTTTATCATCTGCATAAATTTATAATGATAGACTACATAACTCCTTCAACCAAGCTATAAAATGCTTTATCAGAGATTACTTTAATTTGTTGAACTCTATGCGTTGTATTAATGAAACTTTTATTGGTTTGTTAGGAAAAAAACATGAACAAAAAAGAAAATTTTACTCAGTATATTTTAATTACATAAAAGGGCTTGAAAAACTAACAATCAACTTATTAAAATAATTCAATATTCACGTCTTCAAAACTAAACTAATTCCTTATAACACGAGAACTTTCAACTAGTTTTTTTAATAAATTGGAGCCTTAAAATACTTATTTGTTTTCTTTGTTTCCTAAATAAATGAATGGAGAAAAGTTGTTTGACATAGCATATGAAAACAATGATCAAAGGAACCAAAAATCATAAAATGTTAATGAGGATGAATTTTAAAAAAGCTTCTTTTAATACCAAAACCAAAAAATGAAACCACTGTTCGATTTTAATTTTAGAAGATTCGAATTTTAAAAGATTTTGTTATTTAAAAACTTAATCAAATTTATTTAAATCGAACCTAAATAACCATTTGCTCACTTTAGGGAAAGTAAAAGCATTTTCTTTTCATGCATTTGAAAAGTGTTTTTAACTTTTGAAGTCAATTTTAATTAATGAAAAATAAAGTCTTCTTCTATTAATTTGTTTTGATTGAACTCTAGCGATCAACAAAGAGAGGCCCGACATTTTTTTTTTTTGATAAGCAAGAGAGACCCGACAAATCGCTTTGGTCCAAAAGTACGAGGGACAAAAAATCAAAAGATTAAGGATTTAGTTTTCGATATTTCAAGGATGTTTTTACCAACAAGCCTTAAATTTACCAAAGAAAAATCTACTCCATGTACTTAGTTTTTGCGATCATCTCTAGTCACCTAATCTTCACATTCAATCTTCTTTGATTCACACTATCATTATCGAATACCTCTTGAAAATTCTCTGCAACGACAGTTGCAGCTGCATGGAGGACTCATTTATGCTTTCACCGTCCTCTCTTGTTCCACGTCTGAAATTTTTCTTTCACTCAAATAATAATAATAATAATAATAAATTTTTATTTTCTAATTTTCATTTCTTGTAATGCTTTGCAGATTCGGCGTTGCAGCAACTCTGTTGTAGCAGTTGCATCGACCATTGAACAAGCGAAGTTAGATAAAGAAGAGGGTCATGTTCCAGCAGCTAATTCTGCTTCAAAAAAAGAAAAAAGTGAGTTTTGAGCTAAACAGTCTTTGTTTTGTGTTTTTTAAATGTTGGGTTATGTTTAATTATTTGAATTTGAAGTAGGAAATGGTGAAAGAAAGGCATCAGAATGGAAAAGGTTGGACGCTAAAGAACTTGGAATCAGTAATTCAATGATATCAAAACCTACAAGAGTGGTGCTCAATGGGCTCAGAAAGAAAGGTTGGATTGTGCATATGTGCTATTATTATCGTTGTTGTGATTTTTATTCGAAATGCATAACTTGTATTGTTTGGGAGGAAAATGATCCTTGCTTGGTATAGGATATGAGGTCTACCTTGTTGGAGGTTGTGTAAGGGATCTTATCTTAAAGAGAATCCCAAAAGACGTTGATGTTATAACTTCAGCTGAACTTAAGCAGGTTCTCTCTGCCTGTATTCTGTTTTTTTTTTTTATCCTCCCAGTGTTATATGTTAACTGGATGGTTTCTTTGGAAATTGGAAAGTTATGACATAGTTACCCAATGGCAAGAGTGATTTTTTTGAAATGTAATTATGGAATATATCAAGTTTGTTGTCCGAGTAGTCGGATGATGCTGGCAAAAGATAAAAATTATGCTTTTTTCATCCTACTATATAAATAAATTGGTCTTCCATTACCTTCCCCGGTTCCACACACTACATTCTAGGACTTCATGTTCCCTCCGATCGGCATTGATCTCAAACAAATTCATATGCTATGCATACCTGCATGAATTGATTTCATGTTGCAACTGTTATCAAGGACGATACTGTGGCAACAAGTTCATAAATCTTTCATGAAATTCATCTTGGATTTTTTTTTTCTTCTGGCTTGATCAATATTGTTACCAATTCTTGGCCTTCATGGTTACTTTCATTTTGTTTTGTTTTGGAGGTGCTAATTCTGCATGTTAAAACATTCTCGCCATTGCAGGTGAGGAAAGCCTTTCATCGATGTGAGATTGTTGGGAAACGGTTTCCTATATGCCATGTGCATGTGGATGATACCATTGTGGAGGTTGGTCGATAACCTTCTATTCCATAATCAATTCCTTGGCCAAGAAAATGTGCCCTACGATCAGTATATTTTCCCATGTTAAAAAAAGTATTCATGATCAGGCTGTATTCTGTCATACGTTCAGTCAGCACATGTAATTTTTTATTACCTTGAGTCGACCTTCACATTTAGGTTTGATGGAGTCCATTTATTGGATAGGTTTCAAGTTTTAGCACTTCTGCATTGAAGCCTGGTGAGAAATTCAACCATGATGTGAGTAAACCTCTAGGTTGCTGTGAGTGTGATTTCATTCGGTGGAGGAATGGCTTACAGCGGGACTTTACAATAAATGGGTACATCTTTGCCACTTGCATTTTTGAAAGTTGGGATTAACATTTTGGCATCCGTTGGCTTTCTTTTACCACATTATGTTAGTACAGTTGTCTGAGAACTTTGCCTAATTACTTGAAGGCAATTTGTACTTCCATTTTGTAATTACTGTCTGCTTTTGGCAGGTTGATGTTTGATCCATATGCAAAGATAGTGTATGATTATATGGGAGGAATGATAGACATTAAGAAAGCCAAAGTCTGCATGTATCTGATAAAATTTCAGGTTCAAAAGTTGATTGAGGCATTTGAAATTGCCAATGATATTCGTTTTTTAATTGCCACCTGCAGGTTCATACTGTAGTACCTGCACATCTTTCTTTTGTGGAGGATACTGGTGAGTATCTACCTACTTATTAAGTGGTTAGTTTTTCTAGTTTAATGTTTACTATACTTCGCTTTTGCCAAAACAATAGTGCCATTTTAAAGTGCTGAACTTGTTTTTAAGATAAAGCAACTAACACTGTTTAGTACTTAATCCCCAGGTCGCATTTTACGTGCAATCAGAATTGCTGCCCGTTTACAGTTTGGTTTTACTAAAGAAATTGCTCTTTCTCTAAAAGAGCTCTCTCACTCTGTGCGAAGGCTGGACAAGGTATTCATCTCTGCTCCTGAGTCTTTTAATGTCTTTGGTAATTTTGCTTCACTTTTTTCCATCCATGTGCTTGCAGGGTAGGATCCTTGTGGAACTGAATTATATGTTGGCATATGGATCTGCAGAAGCTTCTTTGAGATCACTGTGGAGATTTGGACTTCTAGAGATCCTTCTACCCATCCAGGTATCGAATTGATAGACCATGTAAAATTGGTATCCATGCAATATTTAATTAGCTTCTTCATGTAGGCATCATATTTTGTTTCCCAAGGCTTTCGAAGACGGGATGAGAGATCTAATATGCTTCTGGTATGTGAAGCTACATATTGTTATAATTTTTTGCTGTACTTACACCTATCCATCACTTTTACAGCCATTGTTTGCTGTCTAATATTTTCCCTCATAGATGTTGTGGATTGATTTTTTGCATAGGCTGCATTTCATTTCTCTTCTTTTTGTAAACAACACTATCATCTCTTTCTTATCTCTTGCACTCTCATCGTCTTTTATAATACAGTATTAACATATTGCCTTTCTTTTTGTGCTTTTCCAGTCTTTGTTTTCCAATCTTGATAGACTTGTGGCACCTGATCGGCCATGCCACCCTACCTTACAGTGAGAACTTAGCTGATGTTGCTACAAGCATATGGTCAATTTGTTACGAGTTTCTGATCATTTATATGAAGATTCTGTTTCTGGTTTGCATAAATTAACTTGTTTAATTTGTCACGTTTAGAAAGCAGTTCTGTTGTTTAATAGTCAATATAGTGTCGTGAAATTTGCCATCCTGAGCTGTGATACGGATTGTACTGAGTTGAAGCAAAAAATGTGGATGGTGTCATGATTTTGGATTTATTAATTCTAATCCTTAAGGATAACTGTTGCCAGTGTGTATTCTAGTGATTGATATGTGATGCATGTCTAGAATAGTTACAAGATAATTACTACATTACATTGCACAGGGTAGGCATCTTTGCTTTCCATAAGGCTTTGGTTGATCAGCCTCAAGATCCATTGGTGGTAGCTGCATTTAGCCTTGCTGTCCACAGTGGTGGATCTTTATTGGAATCTGTGGAAATTGCAAGGAGGATATTCCAACCACATGAAACCAGCTTCCCCGAATTACTGGAAGCACAGAGTCCAGATTCAAATAATGCGTTGGTGCATAAAGTCATCAATTTTGCTGCAACAGTCAGAACTGCACTTCGCAAGATGACGGATGAATATTATGTTTCTAAAGCAATGGCTAAATACCCCAAAGCACCATCTTCAGATTTGGTGAGGACTTATTTCTACAATTAATCTCTCTTTTATTTTCCTATCAGATCAGCTTTACTTTTGTTTAGCAACATTAATGAATCGGTTATCAGTGCCATACTAATGTGAACGAGGCCTAAACATCTGTATATTATCCATGTACCTTTGTGTCCCTATAACATAGGTGAAACCTTTTAACAAATAAATGAGAACAATCAAAACCATCAATATATTATCCATTTAACTTTCATTTTGTTTGTTTTATTTGATATCTACAAGTCTTTGATGTGCTTACTAACTGTAAATGAAGCCCAAGACTTTTTCCTCGTCCTTGCAAGGAGTTTAGTCAGATATTTAACATGCTCGATACTGATTCATCACTCTGAATTGATAGAGCTTTTTTTTTTTTTTTTTTTTTTTTGGTTATTGCTATTAGCATTTCTTTAGCTACTTGAAGATTTTCGATTAACGCATGAGTGTGTTGGTGCTGCGTCTTAACTTTCAGGTTTTTATCCCAATGACCTTGTTGCTAAGAGTGAGCAAGATTTTTGAATGCGTTAAAAGGGGTATGGAGAGGGGATTTGTGCCCAAACGGAGGCGGAAGATTGACTATGAGTCTTTGGCGATGGGTAGCTTGGAGGAGGTTCGACATACATTTGCAAGGATAGTTTTGAACACGGTTTCACCTCCAAAGCAAAGTAATGAGAACAACGTTGTCAATCAAAGGCCTTGACCTTACATTCCCATTTGATTAATGACTTATTTTCCATCTAATCGATCAGAGATTTTCTACGACCTCAGTATGGTATGAGATGTGTGTTTTGATTCATCATATACCCTTTTTTGTTTACAGGCTAGGTTTTATGCGATATTGAATTTAACACAAGCACCTCAAGAAATGAGAATAATTATTGATTAAAACAAATTTTTAAATGTTATATTTGCTTAGTTTTTTCCCAAGTGGTTTTAGCATACCATGCTGATTCTGTCAGCTTTATAACCCAGTGTCTGAACTCTTAAGCATATCCTCAAAAGTTGTTTTTGTTTAAATTCTAGAAATTTTATAACACATAAATAGTAACTATATATGTCATTAGTTATTTTTTATGTATTATAAAATTTCTCTTCACATGCAAGTTCCAAGTCACCGGTAACAGTCTAACCAACCCTAAGGCAGAGCAATAGTCAGCATAGAGTATGCCAGCAAGGAGATATTCCCTTCTGAGAGAGGGCCCGAGGTGCTTTTGTGAAGATAATTTATATGATGATATTGGGAAAGGCTTCGAAACATGAATGTTATATGCTGGAGGGTTTGGAAGAGGATGTTATAAGGTGGATGTCACTCTACTTTTATTTCCCCAAGAAGGCGATTGAGTCTTTAAATTTGTGACATCTTCATGTATTCGTGAGGGATGAACTAGGTTCCAGAGTCATTGGCTGATTGTTGGAGGTGAACTTTAGCTGGACAGCAATAGGGAAGGCCAAACGTGGGTTGAGAAGGGCCAAATTGCTTACAGTGGTCGTGTTTGTTGATGTTAAGAAGCTTCAGCTGATTGCACACATTACACGTGCACAGACCAAGTTTCCAGCTACTCTACCACCTGTAGCGAAGGAAGAGAATTAAGTTGGAAGTTTCTTGCATTGGCTTGCAACGAGGTGGTCTATCGGGCAGGACTGTTGCTCTAGAAACAATGGAAGAAGATGCTGTCTCCCAACTCTTTAGAAAATGGAGCAACATGGACAATTGACTTCATGGGACCTCAATTGGATGTCTAGTTTTGCTCATGAATTGACAAGTACTCCAGCGAGGTTGTTTTTTTTTTTTTTTTTTTTTTTTGAGAGAGAGAAATGTACCGTCTTGTTTTTCTCTCACATATTCATTAGAGAATCAGCCATTTTGAGTTTATTTAGCTTTTTCCTTTATTATGGTCAATGGTAGTAGGGTATTTGGACTTGGAATGTATCATGCTCGATCCACAATCCACTAAAGATGCGAAAGGTTGGTAGCGAGGATAGCGGACACCAAATGAGGTCCATGGGTGATGATAATAATAATAATGATTGTTGTTGGGAAACTTAGGATCTCTTTCTTAAAATGAAAAGAAGAAGAACATGCTGTTTTTTTTAAGAAAAAAAATCAAAAGAGCTTCTCAATATATTTTGTTCTTCCTTATATGATTAGATAGAAAGTTGTTCATATATAACCGTGTTTGTTTTTCCTTGGTTATAGTGTTGTCCATACATTTATACTCATCTCATCCTAAATTCTTGTAATTTTCCTATACACGATGTTCTTTTTTGGGATAAGTTTCTATATACTATTCTCATCTTTAGTTAGATTGTTTCCGAAAAAAATTTTTTTTTTGGTATACATAAAAAAAACTTTATGCTACCGTGCCAAATAATTATTTTAACTCAAAAGCATGGGCCTATATTGATTATTTAAAAGAACAAATCTAAATTCAGCCATAAAAATCAGTTGAGTGTATATATGTATTATGATAGTTTGGACCAGTTTTTATATTAGTCTAGATATTTTTTTTAGTTAATACAATACTAGAACATGTTTAGTTTTATTTGGTTAAATATCATACTATCATTTAAAATAAATTAATTCAAACCTAGTATTATTAAGAAATAATTATGATTAATAATTCATGAATAATGAAAATTAAACATTAGTCTTAACAAAATAAAAACAACTTTTTTATGGCTACGCGAAAAATTTTATAATACATAAGGAGTAACTAGTGGCAAGTACAATAGTTACTCCTCGTATCCACTTTGAGGAGAGAAACGAGCACATAAAAAAAAAAGAGAAATTACATCTATATCCATCAAAAGCGATAAAAAGATTTTCGTGTCCGCTCAAATTTTTTTATTTTCTTTCTTCTATTTTTCTTTCTCTTTTTGTGTGTCTATCTCTCTCCTCAAAATGGGCCCAATGAGTAATTATTGTACATGCCACTAATTACTCCTCGTGTATTATAAAATTTCTCGTAGCTACGCTGTATATTTTGAAAGTAGTTTAGTATACTCGTATTTAATTTAAATGTAAAAAGGTTTAAAAAAAATTAAATGTAAAAAAGATAAAAAAAATGTTAACATAATTTTACCAACCACTTTTCCTGTCCATGAAATTACAACGAATCAATCATAGTTACTTTATTATTATTATTATTTCGTTTTTTCTAATTTCAGAATTCTTGTCGACCTAAAATTTGAATATTCCTTTCTTTCACCGGAAAAAAGGGGGCTGTGCTTCTTCGCTCGTTAACGTAAAGGATTTTTTAAAGGATCACCATGCCCATCCATCCATTTATGCCCTCATATTAAAATTAAACTCCAACACCACCCCCAACTGCTATTCTCAGCGGAACCATTCATTACGCTCTAATTCTTTTGCTTTGTATGTCATTAATTACAAATTAGTCCTTCTTTTCGATTTGGTTCAAAATCAATTATCGGATTCAAAGATTTTCAATTTCATTCCTTAACTAACCCTACCACTTTAATTTGGTCCTTTCATCACATTATATTAACAGGATATGGTTGAAAATTGTTGAACAAGTGTTTGGATGGTGAAAACTCACCAAAGTCCTCTACAAAAAGAGCTAAAAAGATTTTGTGGAACTAATTAGAGGTTTGACGCCCCAATATCTTTTTTTCCCAACAAATAAAAAAACAATTATTTTCATTTCAACATTTACAATAATTTCCCTTAAATACATATATGTTAATCTTCTTTGGATGCTTTACTGACAACGCACATGTAAATCATGCACACATTCAATAATTTGTAGCACAGTTTGTTCACATACTTTTAATAAAAATTAATTAGATCACTATTACTTCTTCTTTTTTAACAAAACTATTCTCTTTTCAAATAATTTTAAATTGTTTTCTATAAATATAAGCATTGTTATTTCATGTTTATATTTAATGTGAATTTCCATAGTCCATATTCAATTAAAAAAATTGACAATAATTCTAATACATGTGAAGTTTGACAACATTTCCAATGTATAGAAACTAATTATCTGATCTCATGTGATAACCTAATAATAACCTTTGTAATTTATGTCATCGCATGAGTATATAGGCATCTTTAAAATTGATAGATAAAATTGTTTGATTATATATATATATATATATATATATATATGTAAAAATATTGTATACCTTATCTTTTGTTTAATAATATTTTATTTATAAAATAATAATAATAATAATATGATATGATACGGTGAGTGAATTTATTAGTATTACTATTCTTTCATTTTAAAACAAAATTAAATCTTTTTATAAGAAAAAAATATATATATATATATATATAAACCCTCCAATGAGACAAACATTTATCACGTCAAGTCCAATCCAACAAGCCGCATCCCATTTTGTGTGTTAATTAGGCTCCGTTTGTTTGACGTAAAATAATTTTCAGTAGAAAAATCAATTACGAAGAAGCTATTTTCCAATAAGTTGTTTTTCAAAAAATATTTTCGACGTTTGACGACTTGAATGGAAAACTCGCTGGAAAACATTTTCCAAAGATAGTTGTTATATCAACAAATTTTGAAAGAATTTCAACAAGATATATTGACAATTTTATAAACTTAAACTAGTGAATAATAATGTGATATTTTGTAGAATTAATTTCAACAAGGCATACAAAAATTATTTGAACTTTTTTTTAACATGTTCCTATCGATATTTATTAGTATAATTAATTTTTTTTTTTTAGAATGAGAAAAAAATAAAGTTAATTTTGTTGAAATTTTTTATATTAAAATTTATAAACTTAAACTAATAAATAGTAATGTGATATTTTGTAATTGAAATAAAAACTACTTGTAAAACATAAAAAAATATAATATAATTAGTTATAAAAAAAAGGTTATATAATAAAATTATAATGAAAAACTTGGTTGGATAAATAAAATACAAATCTCTTTCCAATCTATCAATTTATCTCCCCATAAGCCATACATTTAGTCAAGAAGTAAAACATAAATAAATACATTGATGGTTCTTTAAAATCACAAGCTCACTTTATACAACATAGTCATTCCATATATCTAATGCAATAACATCTTTTTTTTCGCTAACCATTCCCTATTCTCTTCCCTTTTCTCCTCTTTAACTTAAACATGCTCTATCCATAATCGTGGATTGGCTTGATGTCATAATTTCTTCCATGACATAATCATCGTGGTCAACTCCTATTGTATGATTATGAAGGATAAAACTGCCAAGCACGATATTCACTTGAGTTTTGTAGGACCAAAATGGTCAAGCATCAATACATCGAAATCTTTTCTTTAGTACGTTGAAACCACGTTCAATTGTTGTTCGCAAGGAAGAATGACGAAGATTAAATAACTTCTTTATATTCTCGAGTGGATGCTCAGCAAACTCATTTAGATGGTATCGAACACCACGATATGGAGTTATCACTCCATTTCGGGTTTTGTAACCAAGCATCACCAAGATAATATTTACCTACAAATTTTATGAAATATGCCACCAATAAATATTTGTATACTTGCATAACTATATGAGTAGACAACGTACATTAAAAATTTTATTTAATACCTTCCGGAATCTTAAGTACTCCGAATCGTGATAATGCATCGTTTAAGACACGAGAATCATGTGCACTCGTCTTCCCAACCAGCTAAAATATAAGTAAATTTTAATTCAAAATTGATGGTCGCCAATAAATTTTGTATTGTTCCGCTCTTTCTACCACGAAACTTTCCTTGCAGCTCCATAGGTACACTTGTCGGAATATGGGTATCGTCAAGTGCTCAAATGCAATCTTAAATAAAAAATTAATATTTATGAAAATCTAATTTTTAATGAAATTACTTAAAGTAAGATTATTATTATTATTATTATTATTATTATTTACAAATAAAAGAGATAACTAACCTTAAAATATGGAGAAAATCTTTCATTGTTGGAAATTACTTCGGGTATTGAGTTAGGTGGGTCTTGAATGAGATATGGGTACAATTTTAGAATTATTGCCAATACAATTCTAGAATATCTATGTATTGTTTCAACATATCTATAAAATTTTCCACTAATAAATCGAATCTTGCATCGTGCCCAATTATTTGTAAAAACATCACCACTTGTTCTCTAATGGTCATATTTTTAGTTGATTGTAAAAGGTTGGTTGTCTTTAAAACCTCACACAATTTGTCAAATGACTTTTGTGACAAACGAATTTGTGCAATATAATGCCGATCAACCCGAGTTAAGTATACTATTTATATAGAACTCTCTCATATAACTCCCATCAAATCGAGGTTGTCTTGGTATGGTAGTCCTATTTGCATACTCATCAACTATATGACATGTAGTGATTGCGATTGAAGCACCCATCGTGCCTATGAGGTGAATCAATTTCCTATCCATCTACATATAAATTTCAAATCTATTAAATATCAAATATATAAGCTATCAAACAAACAAACAAAATATTTAGAATTGTCGTGTATATAGTTTCCAAAAGATCAAATATTTTGCTTTTTTGCATCAAAGCAAGTGGAAACGAATAACATAAGTTTCATGTTGAACAAGTACTTTGCGAGCCTTCACAACGAAAAGGATGATCAAAGAGCTTGTCAAAAAATTCTCATTATGGTTATATGCAAGTGAATGGTTTAATCTTATGCATTAATGAAATACGCATGCTAAAAACCCGCTCAAAATCGTGCCCTTTAGAAAAATATCGCTTTCCCTTTCGTTGAACAAACCCGATAGCTTTTTCTTGACATAATCCTTCCATCTTAAAAGAAGATTCACTTAACCGGAAAGACAACTAAAATCTTAAGGTTGCTATGATCCCACAATTTTTGGTGAGGTAGCCTTTACCTTCCTATTGAGTCATGAAAGAAATTTTCTATGATTGACTTAATTCTAGGTTTTTACGAAAGGACTAAATATAATTCTATGGAAAAATACACCACGGTGTTTGTGAACGAATTTTCTCAATTAACTCCTAAGGAGGAGGCTTTAGGAATCGACGGTACCCAAGTGATAAGGGAAGCTTTTATAAATTCCCTGGCTTATGCTATTTTCCTTTGCTCTTTTAATTACCGTACGTAGATCCTTGATTGTGATAAAATATTTGACCATGATTTTTGGTTTCCCGATAAATACACTATCATGCTCTTTTCGTTTAAGCCAATCTCAATATATGTCTTCCTAATAACATCGGTCCTTCAGTATGTCTAATAGATAATGCATCCTAGGTAATTGCGGTGATTATGTGATGCGAGCATTCATGGAAAAAAAATGAAGAAAAGTGAAATACTTTGTCGATCCTCTCCTACCAATTACGTGTGTGTGTGAAAGAGAGAGAGAGAAGGACCACCTTCGACTCTCGCTATCTCCTCGCTCCCGTTTGGCAAAAGTATTACAATGAAGGCAACTTCCTTCTTCTTTGCCTTTTCTAATTGATAATAATAATTAAAAAAAAAAGCAATTAAACTACGAGAGCCAAGAAAAAGAAGAACCAACAAAGAAATTCAAAAAGAAAAGTATAAACCCCGAAATCTCAAAGCTCAATCTTAATTTCTTAAAATCTTGGTTCTTAGGATTATGTTGGCAACCCAATCACTTGATGATTTTACACAATTGAACTCTTATGTTTGAGAAAAGGAGAGAGATAAATTTACCTCAAAACCACGCCGGCAACGTCGACCGAGGCCGCGGAGTAGGCGATGGCAGCTGAGGTTGGTGGCGAAGGTGTCCGCACTTTCCTTCGACTTGGACTACGATAGGTAATAGAGAGAGGAAGGGAGAGGGAAATAATCCCGGAAGGGAAAAGAGTGCGGATCACCGTTCTTTTGCGGGTTTTGTTTGCTCGACGGTGGTGCTAGTTTTGTTGCGGCGACGTTAGGTGGCGAGGGCGTCCTTGGGCTCGGCTTCGGGCGTTGGGTGGGTTTGGGTGAGAACGGGACAACAGACTTTGGCAAATGGAAAATGTTTTCTCGTTTTTTTTTCTTCGGAAGTCGGTTTCCCAAAGTTTGTCTTTAAATTTTCATTGATCGAAAAATAAGTTCCTTTGATTTTTTTTCAAAATAGCCAAACAAACATGAAAAAATAGAAAAGACAAGTTCCAAGAACTTGTTTTCTCTTAAACAAACACAGCCTTAGTAAACGAACATAGGGAGAGAATAAGCACTAGTTAATAAACAAAAATACAAAATTACAAGATCCTAGAGTTTAGATGATACTGATTTGATATAAAATTAACACTCAAAGGACTTATTTGTACTTCATACAAAAGTCTGATCTTTTCTAGATGGATGACGTGTATGGTCCAGATTTGAAACCCGGGCCTCTTGATAGATCCCCTTTGCATTACTTATAATAAACCCTCTGCTCTTACATCGTTCTTCCATCTTCGTTGCCTCTCCTGCGTTAATCCAAGTAATTTCTATTCTTTTCTCTCTCTCTAAAAAAAAAAAAAAAAGAAATCTGAAATTTACGATCTCTATTTCTATTTACAACAACAAACAGATCTGAGATCAAAATTCAAGAATTTTGAAACTTCAAAATTTTTAACTGAAATTTGTTAATATTCAGATCTTGAAAAAAAAAAAAAGAAAAAACGAGGCAAAACAACAACAAAAAACCCCTAAATCTAACCAATCTGTTTGCTTCTACACTCTTTAAGATTTTTGAAATCTGTTGATTCTTTTTAGATTCTTGTTTCTTGACTGGATTAGATTGCACTGCATGTTTAGATCCAGTCAAGGTTAACTATATTAAAAAGAAGGAAACCCTAGATATATAGCTATGGGTAAAAATGAGACCGCCGCCGCCAACGGCAGTATTAAAATGGAAGATGTCGAAGAGGGGGAAATATCGGATACAGCATCAGTGGAAGAGATCAGTGAAGAGGATTTTAATAAGCAAGAAGTTGTTATAGTGAAAGAAACACCATCTTCTAACAACAGCACACAGAAAGTTTGGACGATGAGGGATCTGTACAAGTATCAAGTTGGAGGTGGATATATGTCTGGTTTGTATAATCTTGCTTGGGCACAAGCTGTTCAAAATAAGCCATTAAATGAGCTGTTTGTTGAGGTTGAACTGGATGATAATTCCAAGAAATCATCTGTATCTTCTGTAAATAGTAGTATAGAAGATAAGAAAACTGTTGTGATCGATGATAGTGGTGATGAGATGGATGTTGTTAAAGTTATTGATGTCGAGAAAGAGGAAGGGGAGTTAGAGGAAGGTGAGATTGATTTGGATTCGGAGCCGCCGGTGGCGGAAATGGTGAGTGTTGATGTCGAGAAGAGGGTGGGGTCGATTCGTGAAGAATTGGAGAGTGTTAGTGTGATCGAAGCTGAGAAGTAAGTGTGTGATTTTGTTACTGACAGTTTGTGAATTCTGTAGAAAAGAAGATTTTAAATACTTAGTGAAGGTTTTGTGATAATGGGTATGATGGGATTGATTTTTTTGTTGGGTTTTATTTTTTATTTTTTGTAGGTCATTCGAGGCAGTGTGTTTGAAACTGCTTAAAGCATTGAAGAGCTTGAAGGAATTGGTTAGGGAAAATGAAAATGATCTTCCCTCGAAAGATGGTTTGGTTCAATTGCTGTTCACTGCAATTGGAGCTGTCAATTCGGTGAGACACTTGAATACTATTTTTTTCACTCAATTTCTTTCTTCAAAGAGAATTTATCGATTTAAATTCTGATCCATGTCAGTTTTATTTAATGTTTTTGGTTAATTTGTAATGGTGTTGAAAACTTTGTGGAGACTGAATTGTTGTTCATTGCAGGCTTTTAGCTCGATGAACCAAAAATTTAAGGAGCAGAATAAGGACGTTTTCTCAAGGTTTGGAATTTGTCTTGTTCGTTATTTATTTTCATCAGATTTTTCATAATACATCAATTGTTTAGATATTTTATTGTTGCATCTTTCGGTTACAGGTTTCTTTCCCTTGTTGTATATAGCCACGATCCTCCTTTTTTCTCTCCTGAGCAGGCCAAAGAGGTGTGTGGTTTCTGTAAATTTGATTTTAGGATTGGTAGTCTTTGTTTCCCTTAAATGTGCATGCTGTTAATTAGGGGTATTGTTTATTTCTCCAAGGGAACTAAAAAATGTGTCTGTTTTCACAGATAGAGCTCATGGATTCCTCACTGGGTTCTCATGATATTTTGTTTGGTTCAAGAACTGGTGAAGAAAGAGAAAAACAGGTTTCTGGTGAAGTGAATGAGAAAGGTTATTTTTCCTCTGCAAAAACTGGAGGTTATGATTTGACTGCTATGATTAAAAAGTTACCATCTGTTGCTGAACCTTTTGTTCGGAATAAGCCAAGCATGTCAATAGAAGCTCCGAAGCCAGGTATACCTAGTTTTAAGAGTAGGGGTGTTTTGCTTCCTTTGCTTGACCTCAAAAAATATCACGATGAAGACAGTCTTCCTTCACCAACACGGGAAACAGCACCTTCTTTACCTGTTCAAAGAGTATTGCCTATTGGGGATGGAATGATTAGTTCGGGGTTGCCTGTGCCTAAGGTGGCACCTCTCACAGAAGAGCCTAGGATGCATCCCTATGAAACTGATGCACTCAAAGCTGTTTCCAGCTATCAACAAAAATTCAATCGGAATTCGTTTTTCACAAACGAACTTCCAAGCCCAACTCCTTCTGAAGAATCGGGCAATGGGGATGGTGATACTGCTGAGGAGGTTTCTAGTTCATCGACTGTTGTTAACTACAGAACTGTAGATCCACCTGTTTCAGACCAAAAAATTGCTTCTGCTTCTCCTTCTCCTTCTCCTTCAACACCACCACCACCTCCTCCTCCTCCTCCTCCTCCTCCTCCCCACCCTGACAGTTCTAGCATTCGTGGAGTTATCCCGACTAGGAATTCTGCCCCAGGGAGTTCTGGGCCTAGTTCTACCATGAAAGCATCAGCAAAGAGCAGGGACCCTAGGCTTCGATATGTTAATACTGATGCCAGTGCGTTGGACCACAACCAGCATGCCTTGTCGATGGTGAATAACCAACCTAGAGTGGAACCTGCTGGAGCAATAGCTGGTTCAAAGAAACAGAAGATAGAGGAGGATGTTTTGGATGGTCCTTCATTGAAAAGGCAAAGAAATTCATTTGATAATTTTGGTGGTGTCAGGGATAGTAAAATTATTACTGGAACTGGTGGCTGGTTAGAGGACACTGATATGGCTGAAACTCAAACAATGAACAAAAATCAGTGGGCAGAGAATGCAGAACCTGGTCAACAAATAAATAATGGCGTTGTTTGTCCTAGTCCCAGTAGTGATATGTCCAATGTGAATGGTAGTGGAAATGCACAGGTGCCATTTACGGGAATTAGTACCATTGCCGGAAGTGAACAGGCACCGGTGGCAAGTACTACCACAACATCTCTGCCTGATTTATTGAAAGACATCGCTGTGAATCCAACAATGTTGATAAATATACTTAAGATGGGACAGCAACAGAGATTAACATTAGATGGACAGCAGAAACTTGCTGATCCTGCAAAAAGTACATCACATCCTCCAAGCTCAAACTCAGTACTGGGAGCAATTTCTGCAGTTAATGTTGCTTCCTCGCAGCCCTCAGGGATTTCGGCAAGACCTGCAGGAACGCCTCAGGTTCTATCTCAAATAGCTACAACGGTAAGCTCTTAATTGTATGCACTTTTTCAGCATCCTGAAATGTCTGATTATTGTGTGTAAAAAAGTGCTTATTTAAGGATGAAGTTTAGTTGAGTTGAAGGATGTGCCTATTTGGAGAATTATATGCTCCTAGTGCCTATGCAGTTGGATTTTGTTTGATCTTGAAATTAATGGTCTTGGTAGTTTTATTTATATTGTATTTGTTTGGTGCTAGAACAAATAGTGACAGCCTTGATGGCTCTTCTTTCTCTGGTATATTACAATAAATAAATAAAATAAAACCCGTTGTGGATCCTGCAGGATGAGTCAGGAAAAATTCGAATGAAACCACGAGATCCCCGTCGTGCTCTCCATAATAATTCACTCCAGAGGGCTGGGAGCTTGGGATCTGAACAATTCAAAACAACAACCCTTACACCCACCACCCAGGGGACCAAAGATAATCAAAATGTGCTAAAACAAGAGGGGCTAGCAGAATTGAAGCCAGTTGTGTCACCTGATATTTCCTTGCCGTTTACAAAGAGCTTGAAAAATATTGCTGATATTGTATCTGTTTCTCAAGCATCAACAACTCCACCTTCCATTTCTCAGAATGTTGCATCCCAAGCTGTGCAAACTAAGTTGGAAAGAGTGGTTTTGGATGGCAAAACTGGAATTTCAATTTCTGACCAGAAAAGTGGACCTACTTCATCTCCTGAAGTGGTTGCAGCAAGTTGTCATTCACAGAACAAGTGGGAAGATGTTGAGCATCTTTTTGAAGGGTATGATGACCAGCAAAAAGCTGCTATACAGAGAGAGAGGGCAAGAAGGTTAGAAGAGCAGAAGAAAATGTTTAATGCACGCAAGCTCTGCCTTGTCTTGGATCTTGATCATACACTTCTCAATTCAGCCAAGGCAATTCTCTTTTCGTTTTATAAATATGCCTCTTTTCCTTTTTGGGATAACAGTTGGCAAACAAGTTCCTTCATATTAATTCAGCAATCTCTCCTTTTCAGTTTGTTGAAGTAGACCCTCTGCATGATGAGATTTTGAGGAAGAAAGAAGAACAAGATCGTGAAAAACCATACAGACATATCTTTCGATTTCCTCATATGGGGATGTGGACAAAATTGCGGCCTGGGATTTGGAATTTTTTAGAGAAGGTAATTTTAGTCAGGTTCAAGAAATGATTTAATGATTTGAGTTGTATTTTTTAGGCCAACTAATGCAATCTTTGTTCTGCAATTAGGCTAGTAAACTGTATGAGCTGCATTTATACACAATGGGAAACAAGTTATATGCTACAGAGATGGCAAAAGTGCTTGATCCAAAAGGGGTTTTGTTTGCCGGACGAGTTATCTCCAGGGGTGATGATGGAGATCCATTTGATGGTGATGAGAGGGTTCCCAAGAGCAAGGATCTTGAAGGGGTGTTGGGTATGGAGTCAGGTGTTGTTATCATAGATGATTCAGTGAGAGTGTGGCCCCATAACAAATTGAATTTGATTGTTGTAGAAAGGCAAGTATTATGAGTCCCCATTGGACACTACAATTTCTATGAAAGCATTTATTTCTATTTGGCTGCATCATTTTTTATCCCTTTACCCACTAACCTATCTGTGTTGCAGGTATATTTATTTCCCATGTAGTAGACGCCAGTTTGGGCTTCCTGGTCCTTCTCTTTTGGAGATCGACCATGATGAGAGACCAGAGGATGGAACTTTGGCATGCTCTTTGGCGGTGAGGCAAAACTCATACTTGCCCAGAGATTCTTGTGACTGAACTTTCAATCCCTTGATCATTTGTTTTTGTTTGAAATAGGTTATTGAGAAAATACATCAGAACTTTTTTACCCATCATTCACTAAATGAAGCAGATGTGAGGAATATCCTTGCCTCGGAGCAGAGGAAGATTTTGGGTGGCTGTCGCATAGTATTTAGTAGGGTGTTCCCGGTTGGTGAAGTCAATCCACACCTACATCCATTGTGGCAGACAGCTGAACAGTTTGGTGCTGTCTGCACGAACCAGATAGACGAACAGGTTACTCATGTTGTTGCCAATTCCCTTGGGACAGATAAGGTAATGTAACTGATTTTGCTCCTCTTTTCAGGAAGGATTGAAGTATCGGAACTTTATTTTCAGTCGGTTTAAAAATTTTCAAAAATGCAAGACTAGTGCAGACCCTTTGAAAAAATATATATATATAAAAAAAAATCCAAATGAAAATATAATGGGTGATTTAAACCAGACCCGTGCGGTGTTTCTCCTTAACATGCAAAATGACTTTTGGAAAGTAAACTTTTTAGTTTTGTGTTTGAAGTCGAGGCATGATTTCAATTGTTTTGAACAGGTGAATTGGGCTCTCTCCACAGGAAGATTTGTTGTCCATCCTGGCTGGTGAGTCTTTCTATTGTTAATTTTTGTTATTCAGTTTTGCACTGAATTTTCATATTTGACCAGTGCTTCTCTTTTTCACCCTCAACCCTCTTAATGATCACAGGGTGGAAGCATCGGCTTTGCTTTATCGAAGAGCCAATGAGCAAGATTTTGCCATTAAACCATAACAATCACCAACCTAACCCCATCTGGTAAAAACTAAGACCTGATTAACATGAAATCAAGCTTTCCATTAAAGTGGAGTTGCGTCGGGTTGTGATGGAGAAGTTTTGGGCTAGACCGGAGACTGCTTGACATAGTTTTGACTTTTGGGCCGTGCTATCCACCCATTTTGTTGCCAATAATCTGAAAAGTTCCATGCTAAATGACCGAGGGTTGTTGACCTTCGTGAATAGTGGTGGTGGGTTGGTGGCCTAGAAGGGAACCCTTTGGGGCGACTCATATGAAAATTGCCTTGGCAAGTGTAAAAAGTCATATGGGTAAACATGGATGATCCTCAATATAAGGTCAGGAGATCCAAAATTTAAAATAAACAAAGAAAACGACAGCCAAAGAGTGAGATAACTGCTGACATATACAATTGGGAGAAGCCATGGACAGCGGAAAGGGAGAGAGGGGGAGTGAATTTGAACTGTGAGGAATTAGGCGATTAAGGGGTGGGGGAAACGCATGATGTTGATGCTAGTGTTCGTTGGGAAAGGACGTTTTTTTCGGCAGTTGCAGATGCAAAATTCCGAGTGGGTAGTGGTTGTTAGTGCCATTTAGCATATATGGCACGTAAATTTTCCTCATTTGGAGTTGGCAATTTGTGTGCAGAGCCAACGCTGGCCTCGTAGAATTAGCCTCTACACCTTTCCTTTTTTGTTTCTTTAATTGCTTTCCAAATGCCTGCTGTGGACACACTCAGGGTAAAAAAGGGAAGGAAAAAAAATAGTAGCAGCAGCTCAATGTATTGTTTGCAAATGGCTGATGGTAATTAGGAGTATATCAATTTAAAGTAAAAGGATTGTGTAAAAGACACAAAACGACGTCTACTGGGACTGTCAAAACCAGGGAGGGAGTGCCACTGCCTGCTGGTACTTCGCTTATGTTCATGGTCTGATATCTTGGCTTCCACACTGCCACGCAATCTACCAGGAGTTGCTATAAATAAGTTGGTAACCAAAAGTGGTGGTAAGAGGACCACAAGAACTAGAATCAAAGGATGTTTTCTGTCTGGGCTGGTGATGCTGCTGTCTCCCACGCATGCATGTGCTTTAATTTGCCTTGCTGCCTCTGATATTGGAGATATTTAGAGCAAACTGCCTGTGGTTGTTCGTTTTGTCAGGAAAATTACATTTCCTTTCTCCTTCGAGGCAAACTCGGGTTACATAAAAAACTTGCTTCTCATGGAAAATTGGCAATCGCTTCACGCGTCAGCCAACCAATTGCAAATTTGAAAACGGACTGGCTGTAAAAATAATTAGGCGGAAATGGCAAAACTTTTGAATATTAAAAAACATTTTGTGTCGCGATAACGGTATGAATGCTCCAAGATTTCCCAATTTGCGCGTGCCGCGCTGCACGCAACACAAGCTGCCAGGCATCTTAATTTTAAAAATGGTTGAATTGGGAACATAAAATTTAATAAAAATGCTACCAACACAATTGAACTAAATTACCCCGAAACTTGCAAGGTGTGACATAACTTAATTTTTCTTAAAAAATTATTATTATTATTATTATATATCAGAACTGTGGCATTTGTTAACAAGTAAATGCCATAAAAGTTGGTACTAATGTCTTTAAGTAATACTCAACAGCTAAAACTCATACTTTTAGATGACTAGAAAAATTAAAATCCTAAAGCCGTAATTTTCTCCCCTTCCTTATTCTTTCTTCTTGGGGGAGAAATAGTACCATCAATCACGACTTGCCCTTCTCTTCTTCCAAACCATATTGCAAGTAGAAAACGTTTTTTGGGCCACACCAAATGTTATCTGACACCAGACTCAGACCAATCTAATATGGGCTAAATCCACACACAAACAGGCTCCAAGGCTTCAGTGTTTGAAAAAAAAAGAAAAAAAGTAGAACAAATTGAACGAGGATTTCGCATGTCCCTACCAATTAGGAATTCTCTCTTAATATCTATACTTGTTTTGAATTGAGAGATACGTGGGCTAATTAAGAGTATTAGTCAAGTTCAAATTTAAAGAAATGGGGGTCCCTTGTTGTTGGACTGTCAAAGAGTTCTAGGCGAAGTTGGTGTTCTTGAAGGTTTAACGCTCGTTATCGAATCAACCATTCTGTTTCGTTTGGCCTTATATCCAAGCTTTCACTTGACGAGAATTTGTTAGACGACCCTTCTCTGAGAAAGAACTGATTTCCATGGAGGAGCAGGACAAAGAAGACTATTCTGCTTCTTTTTCATGGTGGTCTGATGGCCATAAGCGTCCTCAGCAATCGCAATGGCTTCAAGCTGCTCTCTCAGGTTTTTCTACCAGTCTCTCTAGGCTTTCATTCTTAATTCTTGGTTAAATAAGATACTTGTAAATAAACCTATTACCATGACATATTTATGGCTATTTATTATGCTTTTCCTTATGTCAAATATTATCTGTTATATTTTCTCTCTTCTTTTTCTTGGATTGCTAGCAATACTTCACTTCTTTGCCAAGGAAAGATTGAAACAATTCCACCTCAGTTTTTAACGACCCATCTTGCTGCAAATTATATCCCTCAATGCAGAAAAGCATTCGTATAGCTAGGACATACATTACTTCTCTCTCTAATGCTATCTTTATGACTTCGTTGGCTTCGGATCGTTTATTTATAGGGCAAAAGGCTAATCAATTATGACGTTTGTGCCAAAATGCAGATTTGGATAACAAGACTAAAACGATACTAAATATTATACAAGATGATGGAGATTCATTTGCAAAGAGAGCTGAGATGTTTTATAAGAGAAGACCAGAGCTTATAAACCTGGTGCATGACTTGCACAATTCCTACCGTTCTTTAGCTGAAAAGTATGATCAACTTAGATCTGAACGCATTCGTGTTTCCCATTTGAAATCATCATCCTCTTCGTCATCAAACTCCTCCAAACAAGTCCCACTCTTCCAGGCTTGTAATGGAGGTAATGTTGCGAGCACCAAATTGGAAGCACCAACTTCCCGCCCTGACTCTGTTGCAGAAGAAAAATATAGTGTTGGACACGAAAATGAGTCAATGTCAAGTGAACAATGCAAGATCCTGAAGATCAATCGAGATGTTGATAGAAAAGTCAACGAAAGTGGGCTGGAAAAGATCATTAATGGTGTTGGATTGAATGGAAACATTGATGGTGATGATTTCCAAATGGAAAGCCTCGAAAAGGAGAAACTGCGGAATGAATTAAGGCTTCAGGTCTCAGAACTGATAGAGGATAGTTTGCAGCAGCAGAGTGAGCTAATAAAGAGAAATGACGAAAAGAGAGAAGTGATCAAACATCTTCGAACCCAAATCAACAGGCTAAACGAAGAGAATAGGGTCCTGAAGAGTTATCTACCAAGCTACAAGGTGGATATGAAGCGGAACGCCAAATCTAATGTATCAAAGCTGAAGGGGCTGAATTGCATTGGCAAGTTTCAGGACTAGTTGGCATTTCCCACAAGGTTTAGCTGATAACGTAACGCAATCAAAGAACAAGAAGGCTATCAGTTAAAAATGCCACCAGTTCTCTGGCTTTTTGAACTTGGCAGCCTTTTCGTTCTTTCATTGCATTCAATCCCATTCCATTATAAAATTGCCAAACTTATTCTTTATCTTCTGTCATTTGTTTTTCTAGTTCGTTGCAAAGAGATGCAGCTTTGATTGGTATTCGTTGGTTTCTATTTTTTTTTTTAAAAAAAATTATGGAACAATCACAATATATGTATGCAAGAAGGAACGCGTTAATAATTTCTTGGCATTGGATTTTATTTTATTTTATATTTTCGTCCATGCAATAGATTTTATTGGACTATAAAACAGCTCTCTCTCTGTTTTCTCTCTTGAATTACTTAACCAAATTTTAAGCAGGCTTTAATTCATGGGTCCTTATATGGAATTGGATGTTCGTTATGGCTAAAGTAACCCCAAAAAAAAAAAAAAAAAAAAAAAAAAAAAGAAAAAGAAAGAAAGAAAGAAAGAAAAAAGCTATAGAGTTTTTATTGTTCACCCTGACACACTTCAGTATTTTACTAGTTTTTTTTTTATTCGTGTTATGCTATGGGTTAGATAAAATATATGAAATTATTTTTTAAAAAATCATTTTAATTTGATAGTCCGTGGTATGGTGTGAATCTATAAAAATATATGAAATCAAAGGTAAAAAAAATTAGTTATAATTTTTTAATCAAAATTTTGTATTTAACTATTTCTTATTTGTGTTTTCATGATTTTTACGTTAGAAAAAAGATTTATTCTTGTTAATCTATGGATTATTAACTAAAAAAAATTAAATAAAATTTTTTAAAAAAGCTTTAGTATTTAATAAGATTGTGTCGAAAAACTAAAATAACAATTAATAAAAACTTATATAGAATTGAAAAAATGAAACAATTGTTTTTTTGATTTAATATTGATGAGAATATCGATTTTTAAAAGAATATGAATTTAATTTTTATATATTTGTGCATAAAAAAATGAATAATATTAAAATAAAAAACTATATTGATTTGAATCATTGAGTGGTTAAGCCAAAACATAATTTTAATTGTTTAGTTTAAAATAAATTAATTTTAAAATATTCAAAATAAATAAATAAATAGTAAATGTTTATTGTATTAGTAGTTGCATAGTTAATTTATAAAAAAACAATGATTTAATATTTTTTTTATACATCATAATTATACTAAGTGAGTTCAAATCTTTCAATATAAAACAAAAAACGCTGTAGAAAAAAGTTAACATGCAAGGAATATATTGACTAAATTTGAAATTAATAGACTAAAATAAAAATTATTACAAAATCTATTTCGATAAATTTTGACTATATGAAGAAGAAACAAATAAACACATGAATTCTTTTTCTTTTTTTCCCCCTCCTTCTTAAATAATTTTTTTATGTTTATGCTATACATAGCTAGTTCTTGAATAAAGGCCTCACACAAATAGCAATCATCTTTTTTTGTTTTTCACATTTGACTTTCAATTATTAATTAACTAATTTGCATTTTTTGAAATATACTTTTAATCTAAAAATGCATTTTAGACAAATTATATATATTAATTATGCCATTATAATTTAAAAATTATATAAATCTATTTTTCAAAAGAAAAAATAATCATATTCCAAAATTTTATTTCGAATCCGTACATATAGAAAAATAAATCAAAATTGTCGGTAAAGATAATTTTAAATTAATTTGATGAGAATTTAAAAAAAAATGACAAACTAAAGTAGTAAATTTTAAATAATACAAGTATTTAATAAAAAATATTAAAATAAAATGGTACCAAATCACAATACAATTGAAGTTTGATATATATATAGAAAAATTAAGGACCAAAGTATCAAAAAAATGTCATGAATAATGAAAGAAATAGTGATTTGTGAGTATGTGAATAGTATTTTGTGAGTATGTGAATAACATCATGAACAATGAAAGAAATAATGATCTGGAAGCATGTGAATAGTGTTTTGTGACTATGTGAATAGTATTATGAATAGTAAAAACCCATTTTGTTTTAGTGTTTTTTATTAAAATGTTTTCTGTTCCCATCAATCTTTTTCATATTTTTATCTATTTTTTTTCTTTTCTATTTCTTAAAAAAAAAAGAAAAAAAAAGAAAAAAAAATGGTCCATTTGATTTCATAGGAGAGTAGCTTGCCATTTTTTTCTTCCTTATTTCATAGAAATGAGTTAATTGCTATTCTAAAGTAAATTATAACTTAGTCTCTTTCTTAGGAAAACAATTTAATTAGTTCATCTAATTTCAAAAAGTAATGTTTTTGAAATTTTTTATTTTTTAAATGTTTTTTTCATCAATCTTTTTCATATATTTATTTATTTCTTTCTTTTTTATTTCTTAAAACAAAAAGTAAAAAAAAATTGAAAAGTAGAAAAAAGGACAAAAACGTTAGTTTTTGAAATCGAATGGACTAATTAATTTGTTTCACTAAGAAAGAGGGACTAATTTATAATTTACAAAGAAAAGGCAATGACAGCAGCATTAAATGCTCCGTAAAAAAAGAAAGTGAATTGATGAAAAAAGGTTAAAAGAGAAATAAAAAAAGAAAATCAATTAAGGGTAGTTGTGGGTTTTCACAAATCTACTGAGTGACAATAAACGTAATTAAGAATGAAAGAGAAGATCATTTATAATGCAGAAGAAAAGAAAAAAAGTGAAATGACGAAAAAGGGTTAAAGAAGAAGATGAAAATGAAAATCAGTCAAGAGTAATTGTGGATTTTCATAAACCCACCGAGTGACAATTATAGTAATTAAAAACAAAAAAAAAGGTTACTTATAAACACAAAAGAAAAAAAGAAAACTCAATCTCCAATGCTAACCAGTGAGTGAATAGCCTAAAAACAGTAAACATTTCATGCCTTTTAGTTTCTTTTAATTATCCATTAGTGGTATTTTGGTTATTTATGCGACATTAATGGCCAATTGCGATGGTTTTTGGACGTTTGTTTTTTTCATTTTGGTCCTGAAGTTCATTTCAGTTACATTTTGGTTCCAGTATCAATTTTTGTAAGGAGAGAAACGGAGATTGAGAAGAGAGGAGGCAAGAGAGAGACGTCGGCCATTAGGGAATTATGGGCTACTTTTCTTACCAAAAAGGATGTCGAAGACGCTGTATGAATGAGTAGAATTGATTATGGTAACGAGAAATTCTTTCACCGGCCGAAAAATAGAGATCGAAATCATTTTAAAGTTGTGATTTTATTTTTATACAATTTAAAGTGGACTAATAAAGGTTTTAGAGAACAAATTTGTGAACGTTGTGGGCTGATTTTGAGTTATTTTTGTCTGAAATTGGTTTTAAAAAATAAGATTTTAGAAAGACACTGCCTTTTATTTCATCAACTAAAAATATTACAAAGAGGAATCCTTCGTCCAGAATTGACAACACGTCGTTTGACTTTTATTTTATTATTATTTTTTTTAAAAAAAAAAAAAAACAGCACTAGGACAAGCCCAGGCATCAGAGCCTGGCGCACCTCCTCCTACTGACTTCTTTTCTAAATACATTTATTTTTTTTAAGTCTCTAATTCATTCGTACATATTACCTTTTATATGCAACTTTATGTTATCATTTGTGGTGCATTTCAAGTTATGCGCTTCCTTAAAATTATGCTAACTCAAGTTAGATTAATAGTTTTTTTTTTAATTATTATTGAAAAGCATCAAAATTAACCCAAGGATAAATAAATTGAGACCTTATAATTTAAAAAAATAATAAAAAATTTAAAAAAGTGTCAACCTATATCGTGCAATTTTGTATTGTTGGTAATAGTAGAATATTTGAAATTAGATATTTACTGAATTTTATTATTCAAGTTTGTACCAAATTAGATATTTACTTAACATACTTTTGAAAGAAAAAAAAACCTTATTTTTTGGGAACAAAACTAGCTTTAAAAAATAAAAATAAAAAATACCTCGACCATTATTTAAAAGGGAAAAAAAAGCCAGCATACAATTAACACACGAATGTTAAATGTTCTCCTGAAAAGAAAAAAAACAAAGGGTAAGGAATAAGATTCATTTTTTTTCTTTGATTTGATGGCAAAAAATACTATCAAACCATTATGATACTACTAATTTGGATTAATTAGATTTCAAACTATTATTATTTTGACAAATGTGATTTTTACTCACTATCTTTAACTATCAAAGGATTGATCGTCAATGATAAACTCTTTGACCATTAATATTCTAGTTTTTTTTCTAACAAAAAAACTTAACTTAATCAAAATATGATCTACATAATATTGTATCATGTCTATCCGTTAGGTTTTAAAATTAATAACATTCATAAAAAAAATAAAAGTACAAATAATCAAATATAAAAAAATAAGAATATATATTTTTAAATGAAAAAGTAAAAGTATAAATTTTTTTCTAATCAAGTATTTCTATTAAATTCATGCTAACATAAGCATTAAATTGACTAGAGTAAAAATAAAATAAAATATTTAAATCTAGTATTAACTAGATTGTTGTTAATATAAAATTTCAATTTTTTTAATTAAGTAATTTTGTTTAATTCACATTTACATAATCATTAAATTGACTAGATTAGACATAAAATAAAGTGTTTAAATATAATATCAACTAGATTGTTGTTATGAGTGTTATTAATTTTTTTGAATTTTACCGGGTATCTCGGGTCTCAAGACCCAAACTCACTATTTTATCGAGTGCACATGGTAGAGATAATTACCTAAAGAGTTTTTTGCACACACAAGAAATCGAACCCGAGACCATTTATTTAAGCTACTAGATCCCTTTTTACTTAGGCCAACCCTCTAAGGTTATGAGTGTTATTAATTTTAAAATCTAACGAATAGGCACTATATAATCTTATATAGATCATATTTTAAGTAAGTTAACTAGAAAAAAAAACTTAAAAAAAAAAAACTGAAATGTTAACGGTTAAAGAGTTGATAATTGAAGATCAACTATTTAACTCGTTAAAAATAATAGATAACGATCACATTTGTCAAGAAAATAATGATTTAGAATTCAATTAATCCAAAAAATTGATAAATCATACTAATTTCGGATTAATTTTTGCCATTAAATTATTATTTTTTTCATGTTTAATGTAATAGACCTTTGAGGCAAGGTCCTTGTTTTTTCCTGTTTAATGAAATAGTTGCTTTTTTTTATTATTATTAATGCTTACAAAATCACGAGGGTATTAGAAATTACAGACATTTTTAAATGATAAAAAAAGTATAGACATGTAACCTTAAAAAAAGAAGAAGAAAAGTTTAGACCTATTCATGGAGGCTTAAGAGTGAGAGAATGATAAGAAAAAAAAAAAATCGATTGAAAGCAGTCTCTTCTCATAGCATCGTTATTAACCATCCAGGGATAAATAAAATGAATGAGGAGCCGGGATGCAGCTACTAGAAAAGAAAACAATCCCAATGTCAACGTTAAAAAGAGAATAGGTAAGACATTCTGATTTTCCATAAATAAAAAATAAAACTCGAAACGCATCATGTCACGATGTAATTGAAATCTCACAAAACTGGTCACATGTCATGATCAGATGATACAACTTAATAGCATTCGATTTCGATCATGCTATTTACTGCCAACTAGATATTGGAATGCTGATGAAAGAATAATATACATATTGTTAAAAATTAAAAAAAGAAAATGGACGCTTGTAAGAAGACACTCATTGAAAATGACATGTTTGCTAACTCTATCATAGCTGTACAAAGTCTCACCAGCATAACTCGATATTCTTTGCATTCGACTAAATCCACCTATCATCTATGAGATTTGCAAGAAAAGTTCTATTAATGCAAATCGATCATCTCAATGATTAAGGAAATCAGTATTTTTTTTTAACTTGAGATTTCAATCTCGAATCTTCTTTGTAGTTTTTTTTAAGAGATATTATATTTACATCTGAATAACAAAATGTTTCATTTTAAAAAATACACACACACGCACTTACTTTTCACTAAAAAAATGTATTTTGAATTGACAACAACAATTTTATGCCAATACAATGAACAAAACGTCGGACTACATCATTTTCAAGACAGTTCAAATACGAGGGAGGCTTCATAATCCCAGCAAAAACCAAAAGAACGAAATCACTACAGAATTTCTAACAAATCACAGCCAAGCTTCCAAATTTGTCTTTAATCCTCAAAATAAAACACTCTGTATTTTTATTTTCTAAGAAAGAGATTTGTTGAAATAATGAAACAGTGGTCGATAACGGCCGACAAATATCCCGTTCCGTTTCCATCCACGGTGCCCCCACCACAAATTACAACAGCGTTAAACAGTTGAGACAAGGCCAGCGGATCTCCATTTCTCTCTCCACCAACATTGCCTTGCATTTCTCCACGAAGATCTAGGCAGGCAGGCCCTAAAAAACACCGAAAAGTATTTTTAAAAAGATCCTTTTATTTTGCCACACTCCAACTTCTGCTACTATATTTATTTATGGACCGGCAAAGAACTGAAAGTCCGGTCTACACGCGCCAATGGGCCACCGACTCCGGCGCTTCTCCGACGGCGGCAGTGGGGCAAAATGCTCGTCACGGTCACCACTGGCGATCCTCTTCCGCCTCCGGATTCTCCACCATCAAGCGAAACCAGAATGTGGCTGCCAAAGCGGCGGCTCAGCGCCTGGCTCAAGTCATGGCTTCTCAAACGGCTGATGACGAGGACGATGACAATGACGGTGATGATCTAGGGTTTCGTTTCAGTGCGCATCCGCCAATGTCTCTTTCGAGGAGTGCTAATAGTAACAGTAACAAGGCTACTACTTCTAGTAAAGCTTCGGTTACTGCAGCGTCTTCAAGGATCAATAGATCTCCTTCACCTGCGGTAGTCTCCTTCTTTTTACCCTTTTTTGGGTGAAAATTTTCACTGCAATGAGAATGTGTTTCAATTTGAATTAAAAAAATTAAGAAAATGAAACGTTGATTTTAAATGATGGAAGGAGTGATTTTATTGTTTACTATTAAGTAAATGTAGCATTTAACGGAGGGAGTTAAGTCGAGAATTATGCATGTTAGATTTGTATTAATTTATCTTTCTATAAATAGAGTCCTATAACTAGGAAATTAAGCCCAGACTTATTTATTTATTTATTTTGAAATTGTGGTTATTACTAATGCAAGGATGCATGATGTGTAGAAATTAACTGGAAATGTGTGGCAATAAGATATGCTAATTGGATTTTTTTTTTTTTTTTGGGGGGGGGGGGGGGTTTCTGAATTTAGTTAGCTAGAAATTTTGAAGAGACTGCATCGGTCAGGTCAACATCAACTGGAAGGCCAGCAATGTCTCTTAGAACGGCACCAGCAGCACCACCAGTGCCACCTAGCAAAGGATCATTGATGACTGCGGTTTCTTTACCACCGATGGATCCTCCGAGAAATGGGCATAGAGATGGTAAAAGGTAAAATGAATAACCTGTTTGCTATTAATTCGGAGAAATAGAACACTCATATTTATTCTGCTTGAACAGTGGATGTTCAACTCTATTGGAATTCTTTTTTATTTATTTTGTTTTTTTTTGGAAAGAAAGAAATATGGATTTCGTTGTATCTATATCAACTGTGTGATACTGGTCAGTTTTTAGTTTTATATGTTTTAGGCCATACCTGTAACTTAAGTTCTAGAAGTTTCACATGCTTATATGAATGTGGTAACATGTAATTAATGCAACAGTGTTGTTATGGCTTAAGGTAGAAGGTATACGGTCTTGGCTTAATTCGGTCTGGTCACACAGCATGTGATTGGTGTACTGTGGTCTGCCTTGCTTGACCCTGTAAAGGAATACCTTGGCCTTGAGGTGTAGCTCATGACCTTGTAAAGGAATACCTTGGCTTTGAGGTGTAGCTAAGGAACTGGAGTCGCCTAGCCTTGGCTAGGCCAAACTTTGAACAGGGGTATCAAACAAAATGGCACGTTATTTTTTACAACCAAGCTCCATCTAGCTTGAGTAATGCCTTCCTTGGTACCACGACATGCATCACCCTGCATGACCAACGTTTAGATAAATTGATCTTCGACTGTTCAATTAAGGATGCATGCTTTTCTGATATGACAACTTGGAGATGTGAATTGTCATAATTGCAGATTCTTGTCAGATGTGGTACATTTTAACTCAAAAGATACAGGAGATCAACGCGAGGCTTCTGCACTCCGTGATGAAGTATGTTAATTACACCAGATTCTTGCCTTTTGTTTTTTCCTTTATGTACAACAATCAATAAGTATTCTCTCAGAGACATTATATGCATATTTGTTTACGATAATGAAGACTCCATAATGAGTTTGATTCATTTGCAGCTTGATATGCTACAAGAAGAGAATGGAAACATCTTTGAGAAGGTATGTTTGTTTTGATTTTTCCCTTTTTCCAAACACGTATATTAGTATGGTACAATGAAACCTGCGTCTATTGTACAGCTCAGGCTCGAGGAAGAGAGATGCAAGGAAGCAGAGGCCAGAGTCAAGGAGCTTGAGAAACAGGTGCTACTTAGTTTCCATATTGTTAGGCAGTGTTTTAGAGCCTCAGCATATTAGCTTCTTTTTGTTTGACTTGCCAGAAAGCTTAACAGCATGTTTGGAATCCTCTGAATTGAATTCAATTGAGAGGTTTTCATGCAATATCATGTTTGGAACCGTTTTGAGTATCAAGACTGAATTCCATGGAATTCAATCTCTAAAAACCTTACAAATAAATCCGAGGCCAACCCCTTTGATTTGGTGGAGAAATTATGTTACAAGTTAGCTTCCCAAAATACCCATCTCTTTATCACTCCTCTGTCTTCTCTCTTTTGCAGCAAAGACACCGTTAAAACCTCAACTGCACCACCACCAAAACACTCCTCTTTTCATCTCTCACCCAATCCCATCCCATCTCTTATCATTGTCCTCAATTTTGTGGCTTGCGTAGCCTTGGGAAAATAGGGCCTTAGAGATGGTATTTGGGTTTGATTTTGTGGGTTATTTGTGGCGATAGTGGTGGAGGAGAATTGGAGGCAGAGAGAGAGGTTATGGCAGTTGAAGGAGATGAGTTCTTTATCCTTGAAAAGATTTAGAGCATTATGAGACTTTGAAGGAAGAAGATGGAGGAAATAAGGGTAATATATAAAACAAAATGAATTGAATTTGAAGATAGGATAACTCTTCCAAACACGTGAATTCAACTTATGTAACAATTGATTTCTTTGAGCACTATAATTGAATTCATTTTTAATAGTAAATTGGTTGCAAACAGGCTGTAAGGGTGCTTAATGTGCATTTGTTACAAGGTTTAAAGATGGAAATATACCGCTGCATGAATAATGACAAGAGTTCCCAAAACGGAAGGTTTTAAATTTCACTTAAGGGCACACGAATGGAAGGTTTTAAATTCCATTTCTGATAAATGTTAATAAAGAATGCGATGTTGTTGATTATGGGAGTTTGTCATCACATAAGAAAGAGTGAGCTATAACTTCTAGGCTTGAGGAAGAAAGAAGAAAAAAGAAGAGAACTTTAACTCTTTGCAACTAATTCACTGCTGCCCATTTTCAATCAAACAAGTTTAAATAACCCACCACCAATTAAGATTACCCTTTTTGACCCATATAGTCTCAAAGAATCATCTCAACCTAAAAGCTTAAGCTGTTCGGCAAAGCTCAAAGAATGGTTTTATATTACTCTCTAACACATCGCTTCAAGCGAAAGCCATTGGGCTTGCAATTTGCACAGGCCCATCACTACTTTGTGCTTAATTGTTTAATTAGAAGAAAAGTAGGGGTTGTGAGATTCAAACTCATGACTATTTGGTCATCAAGGCTCTAATACCATCTCAAAAAACCATCTCAACCCAAAAGCTTAAGTTGTTGGATGAGACTCTAAGAATGATTTTATAGTACTCTCGAACATATAGAACCCACCATTAAAGTAGCACTCCTTACAGAAAAGTGTTTTTCTTCCTAAACCTTGCTATTTTGCTTGAAATTGGATTTTTCGGGTGTTGCTTTGAATTTGTAAGCCTCAGAGGTACCCCTTTCCGTTCCCCCAGCTCCATTTTCATTAACACACACACTATGCTGCTTGTTCTGGTTTTGCAGGTTGCAGCTCTTGGAGAAGGAGTATCTTTAGAAGCTAAATTGCTTAGCAGGTTAGCTGTTCTGACAAATTTGGTAGTTATTTATCTTTGTGAATATTCATGTAATGACACCTTGTGCTCCCATCTTCAGAAAGGAAGCTGCTTTGCGTCAAAGAGAGGTAATGAGAATGAGTTCTTATGCTAGGATTATCAAGTTAGGTCATTGTTGCTATTTTACCCGAGTTGGAAAAACTAAGACTTACTCAGGCCATTAAATGACTGGAACTCCTATGTTTAGACTGTTGATTCTTAGATTTGAATTGTAGTGAGGCTTTTTGGTCCATTTTGTTTGAGGACCATGATGGATTTCTTGTTGTACTTACCTTTAACAACATAAAACGAAGGATTATTCTCATTTTCTTTAAATTTTGTTATGTTCCCCAGGCTGCACTTAAGGATGCAAAACTAAATAATATGGTGGATAAGGAAATTGCATCTATTCGGTCTGAAGTAGAGGTAACTATGCAGTCATGTGGTCCTTTAATGCCTCATACAATATTTTCCTGTGTTGCTAGGTTCCTAACCTATCAGAACTTTATGCTTAAATTTCTTGCTTAAAACAGAATGCAAAAGATGAGGCAGCAGTTGTTGTGCAACAGCTACGGGGAGCTGAATCTGAAGTGAAGTCCCTTCGTTCAATGACACAAAGAATGATATTGACTCAGAAAGAAATGGTTTGTCTTAGAATAGATTCAAGTGGCTCCTCAATAACTGCTTAGAAACTATTAATTGTGTATCTGCATTTCAGGAAGAGGTGGTTCTTAAGAGGTGTTGGCTTGCTCGATACTGGGGCTTAGCTGCAAAATATGGTAATCTACTGGTCAATGTTCCCTTTTTTTTCTTTTTTTTTTTCATGCAGCACTGGAAATGTCTTTGTTTTTAAATTTTGTTGCTCTTTTTTTTTTTTCCTGCATGGGTTATGAGGCAATAACTACAGGCTAACAAACTTTTCCTCAGTTTTTTGATATACCATGACTTATTTTAATACACTATATGCTCCGACTTATTTTAATATACTATGGAAATACCATGTGCATGACATCGTTGTGGGACCCTTTCTAGATAGACTCTGCAGTTCATCAATCACATCTAGCTATTACACTTATTTTCTTGCTTATAGGTATCTGTGCGGATGCTGCTGTTTCAAAGCATGAATACTGGTCATCCTTAGCACCTCTTCCCTTTGAGGTCGTTGTTTCTGCTGGACAAAAGGCTAAGGAAGAATGTTGGGAAAAAGGCTAGTACATGCTATTTGGCCTTTGCATTTGCTATTGCCTTATCACTGGCCAACATTTGTGTTTACAATTCTTTTAACCGGTTCAATGTGTTGGAAAGTGCTCTATTGTTCGAATTAATCTTTTTTTTTCAGGATCTGATACTGGTAATTTTGAGTAGGTGATGAGGACAGTGAGAAGAGAAGCACACTTGCTCAGGACTTGAGCGACCTGACTGGTGAAGGAAATATCGAGAGTATGCTCTCAGTTGAAATGGGTTTGAAGGAGCTTGCTTCCTTGAAGGTTTTTGCATTACCCATCACTTCTCTTTTAACCATACGGTTCCATCTTATGTTTAATTTTGAAGTTTCAATGCGATGCGCAATAAGCGTTGTTTTTTGTTCCACCCCCTCCCTCTTTATTGACTGTTATCTTTGCATGATTTAGAGTTTCTGGATTACAAAGTGTGATTGCATTCTGATATCATTTATTGTGCTACTCTCAAGGTTGAGGATGCTATTGTGCTTGCGTTGGCCCAACAGCGGCGAGCAAACTCTCTTCGACTGTCCATCTCAGGTCTGACTTGGCCTGTTGACATGCTGCTGCTGATGGCTTTAATTGTTATGTTTTATTCTTTATCATAGCATTGTTTATGCTATTGTATCTTGCTGACATGCCTTTTCTGTTGCTTTCAGATCTTAAATCACCTGGTGATCCAAAGTATATGGAAGCATTTGGTGAGTTATATTTGGGCAACTTTATGCATTTGCCTTACAATCTACTTGGCTGAAATTAGTAGTGCCACTGCCTCCATTTTCACTTAAAGTTGACGAGCATTACCTATCATTTGCTGTTGTGATCACAATTGTATATAATTCAAATTGATATCTTTTTCTTGCAGAATTGAGTCCCGAGGAGTCAGAAGATGTTCTTTTCAAGGAGGTCTGGCTTCACTTATAGTTTAACCACTGATGTTTCTAATTTATTTTCTAGAATTATATAATCTTTATTTGGTGGATGGACCTGCATGGTGAAATGTGCAAGTTTCCAATGTTTCTGCAAATGTTTTGGCTTCCGGATGTTGCTAGTTAAATCTTTTGGCGGATTGCTGTTCTAACTGGCCTATTTTGTCTAAACAGTGTTATATTATAGACTTGGGCACGTGTTTGAAAATCTCAATTGATGATTGACATTCTTCAAGTGCACTGTAACCACTTGCAGACTTGTAGAGAGAATTGAATAGTATCTGTGCGCCTTCTTGAAATCTTCACAAATAAAATGGAGAATTTCTTTATTCTTTCATATATGTATGTTTTGCTTTCCGGTGAAAAATACCTGTGAATAGCCCACAATATCAAGCCTTTTACAGGTTCCTAAATTAGTTGTTTCACCATGGTAATATCCATGCATTTTCTTTCCCTTTTTAACATTATTCCACTGATGGCGAAGGAGCAAATCTTTATGTTGTGCTGATTCTGATTAAGCTACAACATATTTGACTTGCACAGGCGTGGCTTACATATTTTTGGAGAAGAGCCAAAGCCCATGGTATAGAGGAGGACACTGCAAAAGAACGACTCCAATTTTGGATTAGCCGGAGTTCACACTCGCCAAGTTCACATGATGCTGTTGATGGTGAGCTTCCTTTGTCCTTGATAATTTCCTTCTCACATGTTGTTATGCAGTTCTATAATAAGCATGGAGAGAAGATTGTATAACTGTGGCACTTTTATTGGAGTCACTAGAAGATTGTTCAGTAACTTGATATCATGAATGATCACTTATCTTGAGTATTTCATCTCAGTTGAGCAAGGCCTAACGGAGCTCAGGAAGTTGGGAATAGAGCATCGACTGTGGGAAGCATCTCGCAAAGAAATTGATCAGGACTCTTAACACAGAAATCTTCTGGCCAACTTAGGGGCTCTGGTTGATGAGGGGGTTCCAGGAAATTTCATGCTAGCAATTTTCTTCTTGATTCATTTTACTGAATTTTTCTTCCGTTTGTTGAAGCATTTACATATGTTGCATGGCACTGGTCCGCACCTGTCATATATGATATATAAAATAGGTTCATCTCTTTAGATACGTGTTATATATATATATATATATATATATATATATACACATACATCTACGTATAGGTTTGGAATGTACATGAAAATTTAAATACAGTCTAGGTAAAATGGTAGTAAGGTTGCCATGGAAGCTTTGGAATTTTCAAGCTTATACATGGCTAAATTAAAGCTGAAAGGAAATAGTTAAAGTTGGTTTTGATTTATCATCTTCTAGTCACGTGAGTAACAGAAACAACAAGAGTTGGAATTTTCTGTCTCTTTGCCTCCCTTCATCAGCAACCAAAAGGATAGCTTGCGATGAAATAAAATAAAAAATGCTTGTCTGCAGTGGGCTGCCAAAAAGTTTTGCTGGATTCTGGCGCAAAATTTGACCATTCAAGAGAAAAGTTGATCCGAAGAAATTTGTGCAGTAGGGGAGGAGATAAACTAGGAGGGAACCACGCCGTTTGGTTCGAAGATGGTTTAAAATGGGTTTTTAAACAGACGGTTACGGTGCTGAGTGTCTAAGGGGACCGTCTGTTGTTCGAAAGTTTGAGATGAGTGGGTTGGGATTCAACTTCTAAGAAATCGAAGAGTTATTTGTGTCATCTCTACAATCTGAAACTGGAAAAAAATAATTAGTGTGTTCTCAAAATTTGACCTTCGCTTCAAGAAGATTAAAAAAATATAAAGCTGATCTGACGCCTCGATGATGAATAACTGATGCTTGCATCTAGAAACAAGAACTAGAATTGAATAGCAAAATGAGTGCGCCTTTATGTGGTGGGCTGAACATACGTAGAGAGATTTTTTTGGTAAACATCAGATATATAACCAAACCATAAGGGTGTTATTAATTTCGCACTTAAACTATTTTTTTATAATAATTTATCATTAAATTATTTCAATTTTTCAATTAAAAATTTCTGTTAAAACCACTTAAAACACGTTTAAGTTTAAGTTCCTCGCATAATAGCATGTTACTTTTTTTAAAAAAGTACAATTTGGATAGAAATATGAAAGGAAAATCTTAAAAATTGATGGAAGTTTTTAATTGAGAATTTTTTAAAATATAAGATAAAATTAATATAAAAAATTGTTTGACAGTGACATTGAAATTATCTATTTAGTTTGAATTTTTTTGGCTTTTTGGTGCATGACATGAATAGAGAAATATGGACACACTTCATCCTTTTTGCTACTTTATGATCCGTTTGGTGCCGTTGTTTTTTATTGTTGCTGTGTTCGGTTTTTTTACAAACTGTTTAAAAAAATTTCACTGGCCATATGAACTTCTATCATCTTGTTTTATGTGTTGATTCTTCCAAAGTTCCTCATTTTCTATTTTTTTTTTAAAAAAAACGCTTTCAAAATTTTAAAATAAAAACCAAAAAAAAAAAAAAAACAATGATACCAAACAGTGCATATATGGTTTGGTTGTGTTGGTTAATGGACACTTAACAAATTAAGAAGTTAAATTTATATTTTTCTAATGATTAAGGGTTTTTTTTCATGACAATTTTAAAAATATATTTTTAATATTGACTTGATATAGAAATTTTTCTAAATATTAGTTTCAAAAAGTAAAAAAAAAAAAGATTAGTTTGAGTGGAAGAAACTCTAGTCGCTTAATATTGACTTGATATATAATTTTTTTCTAAATATTAGTTTCAAAAAGTAAAAAAATTATTTGTTTGAGTGGAAGAAACTCTAGTCATTTAATATTGACTTGATATATAATTTTTTCTAAATATTAGTTTCAAAAAGTAAAAAAAGGATTGGTTTGAGTGAAAGAAACTCTAATCGCTTAAACAAATGATCTCGAATTTGAATCCTTATGTATGTAAGAAACTCTTTGATTAACTCGTGTCCATCTTGTACATCCAATAAGAGTACAAATAAAAAAAAAGATAAAAAAAAACCTTTAAGCCACTCATGAATTGGAGTTACATATACGCATATCTATTTATATATAATTTAATGCAGTTAAAATCCTTCTTTAGTGTGTGTTAAAATGATGTGCATATGTTTAAAATACTAACAATGAGAACAACGCATGTTAAAATTGAATCATTCCTTTAATTGTCATTTAAATTCTTATTTCTCAAGTGGTTATTTAATTTGTTCTAAAAATATATATAATGTTTTTTAACTGTTTTTTGAATTTTTTTTAGTTCCTGTTGGATTTCATTCAGATTTGGACTGGGTTTTATCAAAAAAAATTTAAGATTTACAGTGAATATTTCCTTCTCAATTTTATATATAATTTTTTGAAATATATTTTCTAACACATTTTGACCTCAATTTTAGTATTTTGGGATATATTTTAAACTTTATTGATTTAAACATTTTCTGAATCCGCACCATAGTTTAATCGATTTATGGCTCTGCTTCTACCTAGTCAGTTGTCGGTCATATAATGCTAGTAGGTTTTAAACCAATTGTTTTAGATAGAACGGAAAAGCAGCAGCATGATGAAGTTGTACAGCCAGACCTCCTTTTGTATTTCAGGATGTGAATATGCTGTATATTAATATGAATTAAAATATCTTCCACATATTAAAAACCAAAAAGCAGGTTTTATGTGGAGCCACTTTACTGGTCCAGGAGCTGTAAATGCATATAAGACAGTCACTTCGGTACAGTCACAACGGCTGGTTTTTGTCCCTTCTCCTGTGTAACGTTGCAAAATGGCAGTTCGAATGGCCTGGAATCGTTTGGATTTGGAATTGGATAATAGGCTTTTTCTTGACCTTTCACTTTCTATATTTCTCTATGTGGGCCTCTCTTTTCAACTCCTATGGCACTTAGCACGCGCTGCGCAGTTCCTGCTCTCCGCCTCTGTAGCTAGAATATGAAAAATGTTCACTCCATACCCTAAAATTATACTAAAAAGTGTATAGGGAAATTGATGTTTCAATACGTGCCATAGATGGTCATGTGCACTTCAATATAATAGTAGCATTAACTTCTTGGTGGCCGCACTGGTCGGAGAAAAATAAGATCTTTGGTTTAAAGGTGCGCATGGGGAAAGAAGGGAAATACAGAAAAAATTCTAAAAGGTGTTTTTGACCCAATCCCCTCTTATCTATCATTTTTTCACTTTCTACTTGGTGACAAGGCCCCAGCAATCTATGGCTTTAGAAATTTAATCCCTTCTGTTCCCATTAAAATCTCTCTCCATTGGCTAAACTATACCGACTATATGTTTTGATGTGAAGCAAATCCCTTAGAAATATGGATGGAACATCCCATTAAGGAGTTTTACCTCGTAATCATTAGAGTGAAATGATTAAAAGAGATTATGTTCTAAACTCACTTTAACGTTGTGAAAGTTTGTATGGAAGTCAGTTCAGATGGAGGTGGGCCATCATAATGGACAAATGGAACATCGTCGTGGTGGTTCTATTCAAAGAGATGAACATGAAATATTCTTTTTCTTCCAAGGGTGGGTACCGTTTGTCTCTGTAATTTTATATATGGTTGGTCTGATGGTTTCTGGCTTGGTGAAAAATGGTCATAGATAAGCATGCGTGGCATGGAGGAAAACGTTTTCTCCAACATGCTCAAGTGGAAATCATTCCCCCCTTGACCTCATCATCACCTCAGACAGAGAGAGAGACATTCGAATTCGCCATCGTTTTTTTCTTTTGGTTTCTCTTTATATAAGTTATTTAACTAACCTATAGCTCTTGTCACGTTGCAAATTCAATTTAAATATAAATTCGCTATTTGCATTATCCTCGCCCACGATTTGATTTTAGGAGTTTTCAGCTTCAACAGATACAACAAATTAAGAAAAGTAGTGCAAGATTTGGATGACTTCCTCAAAGTTTGAGAAATTTTCTTTTGTAGTGAAAAATACCTTTATTCACTATAAAAAGAAAAAAAGAAAAAAACTTTACCTCTTACCCACAACCACACAGAAACTTATGGAATATTATAAACTTTTGATTTTGAATTGATGCCCCGATATGTGATTTACATTGATTTTGGCTCATTCCCAAAACTTTATAACTTTTACAGTACTAATCATGTTTGTCGAGCTAAATTTAATTGCATTCTGGAGGAATTTATGGACTTTTGAATTCGTGCATTTTCCCTTTGAAAAGCAGAAAGGCATGTGTTTGCCATCTGTGGTTTTGGATAGAAAAAGAGTAGCAAAAGGAATGGCGTATCAACAGAAATTATGATCCGAAGATTGAAGTGTCAATCTTTGTTCTGGTACTACTACATGCCTTGCCTGTATGAGGAAAAAAACATAGGAAAGGAGAGTTACATTATTGATTAAGAAAGTAACTTAGCTTTTCCTGCATGAAATTAAAATAGAATCATCAAAAGGGCATTGTAACGAGGAAAATAAAAAGTTCGAAAAAATAAAATAAAAAAAGAAACTTTACTTACATTACAAGAGTTACAAAAGCTTACATGAGAATTCGCAGCACATTTTCCAACCATGCCGGCCACGATCACTTCTCATTTTTCCTTTTATTTTTCTATTCTTCTCATTGTCTTTTTAAAAAGTTATCGACTGCCGCCAGCAAGTTACTTGGTACAAGATCGCCTGACGCCCTACGGGAGCAAATGGGTAGAATTTGAGTATACGAGGACACTCTTTTTTTAATTTCAATTTCCTTGATTTATTATACTTGTACAAAATTATTTAATTATCTTGATAACACTCACTCATATTACATTAATTCACACCATAAATGGTTAAAAGATGTTAGATAGTATGCTTCACACTGCTCTATTTATACAAGCAACAAGATCAAATTAATTTTTCTTACAACGGAAAAGGAAAAGGTACTAAATAATTGCTTTAAAATAAATGATGAG